TAAAGTGGCAGTTTTTAGTTTCTTCAAGTTAAGGTTGAGTTTAGCACATCTCAAAGTGCACACAATACATTTTACACAAGCATAGCAAGAGTATGAGCAACGGAAAGAGTAAAGCATGCAAGTGCAAGAATGTAAAGGGATGTGATTGGAGTGTGCATACACAATGGAGACGCGGATAATATTTTGCGTGGTTCCGATATGTGGTGCTATTGTACGTCCACGTTGATGGAGACTTCAACCCACGAAGGACTCCGGGTAGGAAATATCGGTGTGGCCGAGTTGGGAATTTAGGGTTTGGACATATTTGGGTAGAGAAATTGGTTGAGGGTTTTGGAGCAATATCACTAAGCACTTGAGCAAATAGATCATTAAGCAACACCTCATCGCCTTTTAATAGTATTGGCTTTCCTATGAATTCAATGTGATCTTGGATCACTTAAACAAAAATGTAGAGTCTTGAGCTTTTGCCAATCCTTGTCCTTAGCATTTTGAGGGGGTTTCACATCCTCTTGTCCTTGCCACTCCACTGTTGAACTTATCTGAAATATACTAGATAAAACTATTAGTCCAACAAGGGATATGTTGACATTAATTACCAAAATCACCCAGGGAGCACTTGTGCTTTCAATCTCCCCCTTTTTGGTAATTGATAACAACATGCATCAAAGCTTCAAGTAAGTAATGTGAAGATTTGTAACTAAAGCTTTGGAGGAACATGTAACTTGCATGAGCTCCCCCTACATGTATGCAATCAAGTAATGATAGAATTGAAAGACATGTGAATGCACAACATGACAGAGTAAGTAATGAGTTACATGTATCTTGGCCATATGCATCAGAGAAAAAACAAGTGATGTGAGATGTACCTTCATGTTTATGATTCCCTCTGGCAAACAATATGTGCAAAAGCAAGAGATCATCATGCACATGAGTGAGATGCATATACTTACCTTGTGGTTCTTGAAGTGACTCTTGAGGAAGCAAACTTGAGAAAACAAGGTTAAATAATACAAGAGAACTTCAGACCAGAAAGAGATTTCAAGACCTACAAGAATACCAAGACTGGGATGACATGTAATAGGTGAGTACCACAAAGTGAGTACTTCATTTGAATATAAACATGTCCCCAAAGAATTAAGGATTTGCAATAAATTCCAAGGATTGTTCTCCCCTAAGCATGAAATCCCTCTCCCCCTGAATCTAGTACTAGATAATGGGATAAGGTAGGGTGAGAAACAATCAAAGCAAGTTGTAGTTAAGCTAGAGAAAAATGAGATTATAGCAATGTAGGCTCAGAGCAAAACAACAACTAAATACTAACTGGCATGTCTCCCACCTCTTAAATACATGCAAATTCTCTCCTCTTATGAAAGTGCGTCTCTCTTCCTTTCTTTGAAGAGTTATGTAAGGATAAGCTTTGATGTGATCTCTCTCCCCTTTTGGCATCAATTTACAAGAAGGGCAATTTTCATGGATATGAGTCAAGTGAGTGTGGTCCTGGAGAGACACAAATAAGCATAATGAAGCTTAAGATGCAGGTAGAGGGAAAGAATAACTGAGTGGAGCTGATAAGAATAAACACTTTAAGATGACAGAAATGTTTGCTCAACATTGAAATTGGTGGCACCGATTCATATCGGTCGGTGACTCCGAGATGAGGCAGTCACAGACAGAGCATATCAGAGAGACCGAGTTAGTCTGTTTCGGTTGAACCGATGAACCGTGTACAAGTTGAACATGTTGTAAGTGCAT